CTCTCTCTCTCTCTCTCTCTCTCTCTTTCTCTATCCATCCATCTATCTATCTATTTTCTCCGTTTTCACGCAAAGTTTTCTGCTCTCGCGTTTGCACGTGCGTTGCGCGGCGTTTCCGATGCGCGTGTGGTCGCACGCGGTCTATCTCGCTAAATTACAGGCCGAGAGGCGGCTGAATTGCGCGCGTGTCTCCTTGCAACAGGCCGCCGAGCAATCACGGATTCACTCCAGCTCGGTGTCCCTAGGGATTTCGCCTATTGCCTCGATCAACGCGCGAACATGACTGGCTCGTTCGTGGCTCGATCGCACCAGCCATCCGGAAATATGTACCTGCCGTTCAGAATTATTTTCATTGATCGCCCGCAAGAGCGAGCGGATTTTTGTCACATACAGTCGTTCGTTTGTTTTTCAAAGATTCCAGGGCTTTTACTTCGATGCGTTGTGAACGCCCAGCGAGAATCGAATAAATTTCCTGCGAAATCCAAATTCAAGCATTCTCAGCAATGTGACAGTATATTTTGATTATCGAGATTGCTTAAAATCGATTTCTTCTCTGGCTTTTAATTTTTAGTAACTGAATAAATTCGGGCAACTCGAAAATCTGGGTATCGAACTTTCAAGCTGACATTTGTGCTCGTCAGCTCAAAAGTGATATATGCACTTTTAGATAAGGAGAATCGAGATAATTATTTGTTTAGAATAATACGTTCCCGGTTCGTTAGTTTCATTCTGTCTTCCAAAGTCTTTACATTGTACAAGCATGTCTGTCACTTTTTTTTTTTATCCTGAAAAATGCTTGTTAAACAGTGTAAAATTTTAGTAAATTATATAAAGGGACTTCCCGTGTAAACATAGCCGTCAGCTAGATCAGACGAGTCGTTCAACCTGCTAATGCAAATTTTTGTTTCAATTTATTTTATTGAGCTACACGTTGCGCGTAAAATATCACTATTTGAGGCTAAGGCTAAGAATTATTTATAGGTGTTGCACGTAAACCAAATATACAGATGGATTGTTCCAAAAAGCGCGAACACAAACTATACGGAATCACGTAGCTTCGGCTCCGTTCGCAGAACTTAAAATGCAAAAGCTGCAGTTCAAACGATTTTCACGAAAACATTGTTTATCTTGCGAATACGCGTAACGTAGAACTGCCGATTTTCGCTTTGCATTCAGCGTCAAATTCGGATGAAATCAAAGTCTTTGCCCTTTACGATCATTTCCCGTCTACGTTGGTTTCTTTAAAGTGCACGAACTTTACCAATCACGCAGAGATATTATACGCACAAATAAACCGTTTACTGAATCGATTTGCAGATCGGTTCGATATCGCCGATTCGAACGTAGAGTCGCTCGAGAATATCCAATACACGACTCGATGCTCTACTTTCTTTCTCTCTGCGAGAGTTTATTTACAGCTGCAGATGAACCAATTTGCTACCTCTTTTTCTTTTTTTACAATTAATATAAAACTTTTTATTTTTTGCTACTTACTTTTCTTTCTTCAGTCAATGTAAAACGCACAACAGTGACCAGTCAACTGGGGGGGAAAAAAAAGAAATAAACTGCGGCGGAGCTGCGTCGGAATCGTTTTATTTCATTCTGTCGTTAATTATTATCAACATTCTACCGTGCTACTTCCCTTGTTCCTTTAGAAAGCACTCGTCGTTCTTCCCAAAGAAATTACAGGAACGTGACTTTTGCTCGTAGCTCTTGCCCGGTAGTTTCGTCCTGTGCTACTTATCTTACGTAATGAAACGGTAATAACGATAATGATCCAAGGTTGCGGATGCTTTAAGCAGCCGTGGCGTAAAAAAGTAATATCTAGAAATCTCGAAAGGATC